CAAAGACAATCATTTCAGTTTTGTCTGCGTTTAGCTGGAGGAAGTTGTTTTGCATCCACCCACTGATCTGTTGGATACAGTGAACGAGTGAGTCCACTGGTCCATGTTCTCCTGCAGTCAGTGAGACATAGATCTGAGTGTCGTCTGCATAGTTATGATAGGAAACTTTGTTTCTGCGTATTAACTGACCTAACGGCAGCATGTAGAGATTGAACAGAAGAGGTCTGAGGATCAACCCCTGTGGTACTCCACAGGTCAGGGCCATATGATCTGAGACACAGTTTCCAATCTCCACAAAGTACTTCCTGTCCTCAAGGTAAGACCTAAACCAACTTAGGGCGGTGCCAGCGACTCCAACCCAGTCCTCTAATCTCTGTAAGAGGATCTCATGGTCGACAGTGTCAAAGGCAGCACTTAGATCTAACAAGATTAGGATTGAGACTTTGCCTTCGTCAGTGTTCAGCCGGATATCGTTTGTAACCTTAACAAGAGCAGTCTCAGTGCTGTGGTGGGGTCTAAAGCCGGACTGAAACATATCAAATGAGTTGTTGATTATAAGAAATCTAGTAAGCTGTAGGTAGACAACTTTCTCAAGGACTTTCCCCATAAATGGCAGATTTGAGATGGGACGATAGTTGTTAAGTACCGTAGCATCGAGACTGCTCTCTTTTAGCAGGGGCCTGATGACTGCAGTTTTCAGGGCCTTTGGGAATATTCCAGAATGAAGGGACATGTTTACTATCTGTGTGAGTGAAGGTAACAGACTGCTCAGAACAGACTTCAGAAATCTAGTGGGTAGTACATCCAAGCTGCATGTGGAGGAGCTCAAACTGGAGATTATCTCTTGGACAGTTTTATCATTTACAGGTGCAAAGTGAGTTAGCTCAAAGAGCCTTTCTGGCTGTTGGATGGTTATCTGTGGATTGGAGACAATGGCGTTTTTGATGCCTTGAACCTTGTCATTGAAAAAATTAGCAAACTCATTGCATTTACGTTTGGAAGTAAGCTCTAATGGCATTTGAACAGGGGGGTTTGTTAATCTATTAACTGTTGAGAACAGAACACGCAGATTGTTGCTGCAGCCTTCAATCATTTCAGAAAAATACCTTTCTCTCGTACTACGTAGCACCTGGTTAAACTCGCACAACTTATCTTTGAAGATCTCGTAATCAACCTGGAGGTTGGACTTGCGCCACTTTCGCTCGGCCCTCCGGCACTTTCTCTTTTGTGCCCTGACCGAGTCTGCTTTAGCCCACGGCGCCTTCTGCTTATTTTTCACTATTTTAACCTTCACAGGGGCAACGGTATCCAGAACATTCAAAACACTAGAGGTGACAGAGTTAAACAGTTCATCTACAGTAGAATACGATGCATTCTCAAAGTTTATCATTCCCATAAATAGTTCACTCGTATTTTCATTTATGTGTCTTCTTCGAACAGTTGCAGAGTCCACTGGTGGTTTGTTAGTGAAACACATGTCAAAAAAAACACAGAAATGATCCGAAAGAGCAACATCGACCACGTTTACATTTGAAATATTCACCCCCTTAGTAACTAACAGATCTAGAGTGTGCCCTCTGCTGTGGGTGGGGCAACTTACGTGCTGAGTGAGATCAAAGGATTTAGTCTCTGACCTCCTGCTGATTCCAGAGACTAAATCAGAGATTCATGCCACTAAAACCTGAAACAGTCTTCCTGAAAATGTGACGGACTTCCACTCAATGAAGCCAGACAATGTTCGAAATGAGATAAAAATTGAACTGATCAGTGAGCAGAACCAGATTGTATCTCATTTCAATATTAATAATTTCAAACTCATATATAATTTTAATGATTCTTCTCTTGTTTTTCCTTGTCAATTACAAGAAAATCAGAAAATAAATAAAGCAGTGGTTTCTCGCATTTGAACTGTACATCCTCAAGAAAAATCATAAACATTAATTATACTTATTAGACTAAAGCAAGTCAGGCCACACATTCTCTCCTTTGTCTCTTTGGTTCGGGACATTCTGTTCTCAAAGCTCAAACCTATAGCAGAAATAGGTCATGCGATACATTCTCATCAAAGATTTATTCACCAAATCTGTTTTTCGAGATTCCTAAAAGGCTCCAAATCTGATTTTGTGCACACAGCGTACGCACGGCACATAATCAAATCTTACACGTTGGTAGTAGAGGTTGTTTACATTGATATTATGTAGACAACATGGTATATTACTGAAACTGCTAAGATTACAGCGTTTGAATCTGTTTGTGTCCTTTTGGAGACTGTTTCGAGTCTCTCTGTGCAACTGGCAATCTTTGTTCAGACAATGATGGATGGCAAAGCTACAGATGCAGAAATATGGCCTGCAGCTATGATCTCTCATCAAAGCAATTTAAGCTGCTGTTGAAATACAGTACAATACACTAACAACATTACATCACTCACACAACAAAGAACCAACACAGTGGTTTCCTGGTTGTCTAAAGCAGCCTTCGAACGACAGATAGAGAGCAGAGTTTGAGCTGCAAGGGTTTTGTTGCGCTGGCTTGAGCCTCATCATTTGAATGTATGAAAGGGTCCTCACATCTGACACAACAGGAAATCAAACAGACACCTCTTTGTCTGCCCCGAGTGCACATGGCAGAAATAGCTGCCCTGCCATTATCAAGCCGGGGTCACACGCTTCCTGTCTTTTAAAGCAAGGCATTCTGGGTACTGGCCTGATCGTGTCTGGAGTCCCGCCTCCTGGAACGCAGCAGGAAGTAAGCGCTCCCACTTCCTCCTCGGCCGTGGCGAATGCAGAAGTGGAAAGGTTGTTTTGAGTTCTGCATCGGCTTCTTCCCCTAATGATGCAGAGGCAGATGATCTGACAGTTTATGTAACAAGCTCATTAGAACACACTTCACAGAGCTGTAATGCAAACAAATAATGTAGGACAAACTGGGAAACTAAAGCACAGTATAGTGAATCATAAACCAGGCATGTCAAACTCAGACATGAGGGCCAAATCTGGCTTTTTTTCCAGCAGATATTTGCTGTAGCTTTGGCCGTTATAGATATGAAATCCACAATTTTAATCTTGTCTTGTGTCCATTACTTGGTTGATATTGACTAATTTTTAATAAACAATATATAACTTTAAAGCAGAAATTGTCAGATAACAATACAATGCCCTTTCCTTCTATTGGTTAGATTGTCTTCATACATATCCATAGTCTTCTGCCTAAAAATATTCCATCTTCAGGCACTAAATAGCACTTGGGATGACTTAAACTCAGATTGCAATAATAATGACAAAGCTGAAATATTAAACCGCGAGCTCCATAAACATACCCTCAGAAGAGCCAACATTTTCACTACAGCCTGAAGAGATAAATGACACCACACAAGTCAGTGCACGCGTTACTGTGGTCTGTCATCATGAGACTCCCTCTCTTTCACATTCCTGTCCACAATGCCTCCCCTCTGCACCAAAAACAGACACTTTTAGCTCCGGGGTGAAGAGGGAAAGGAGAAACAACAGTCCCTCTTGATGGCGCTGGTCGTGTTTGTCCGTGTTTGGGCTGATTTCGGGCCGGTTTCACTGCAACAGCTGAAGACACGGCCCACATTCTTCACCCATGACTTCACCACTCAAACTAAACAAAGCGTATGCTAATTCAGTTTATGTGGAAAAATGCATACTTTTGGCCAATCCATTGAATAGTTTTCTGTTATTTTCTAACTTGGCTCTAAAAAGTTACTAAAGTATTTACCAGTACCAAAAGAAAAGAATTGTGCCTCTTCTCAAAAATTTACCATAATCGGTTCAAACTATAATTCTAACTCTAAAAGTATTTCTCTTCTTAAATTGGTGTCATTCTCTCAAATCCTGTTGAATTGCCTGTTCTATTATCAGAGTATTATTTGCTAAACTTGAGTGCTGAGTCGATAAAAGTCCAGCCAGGAAAATTGGAACTTGCGTCTTTTGTCCTAATATGGGTAAAAGCTGGCACAGTCTGAGAGGGATAAGGTAGGAGTGACATATCTGAGCTAGCATTTCTGTGTTAGAACGGGAAGGAGGTCATTCAGACGCCCACACTGTTTGAAAGCGGTAATGCAAAAGTGCCTCTGACAAAAAATAGTATATATACGGTTATGGTTATTCGCAATGTAGAGATTTTGAGTTAATCTTTCCAACTTTTTCATAAATATGAGGTGAAACGGACGAAAGGTGGAGCCCTGAAACTTTAGAAGAGATAGAGGGCGACTGAGATCAGACTTAGACTTAGACAGACTTTATTGAACCAAAAAAAAAGGAAAGATAGATAGTTTAAGTCCTAGATTCAAGAGTTCATGAAATAATTCTGCTACTTTGGCTACTTTATCCCCACCGCTGTCAGACTGTCCAATAAGTAACTTCAAGTCACTTGCATAGGACTGAAAACCTGCACTACTATTGCCACTGTTTCTTTAATTACCACTTTTTATTGTACATAATGTTTCCTGCACAGACTATATTTTTTGCCGTTAGCATGTTTGCTTAACTCATGGACTGTCAGCCGTTTTTGATGATTTCACTGATTGTCAACGCCCACAGAATATCATGGGCTATGACTATGTGGAAGTTTGAAACCAGATTCTGAAAGACTGGATTGTCTACTTTGATCAGCAAAAATAAGTTGGTTTCTAGCTATTTTTTGTCTTCTTTAATCCCCAGTCGAATAGAGGGAAGTTTCTCAGGACATTCCGTCAATGGCAGTCAATGAGTTAATTATTGTTTCATACAGACATGGTACAAAACATTTTTGGCCTTGTCTGAAATTATTGTTTTATGGAGATTTATGGACTTTAATACATTTTTTATCATTGCATTTCTTGTGTTTGAACCGTTTGATTCTCTGATCTGTGCTGCTAAATCGACGGTTTAGTAACGTAATCTAAAGTAAGGTATCTAATGTTGTCTTTCAGGCCTATACAAAATAAATTGAATGAAATTGAATTGAATTATTGCTCTATGTCCCAAGTGTGAGTGATGACTGTGACTCTTTGCAACTGCTTCGTACGACCCCCACCCCAAAAAAATGAGTTCAAACAAAAGAGGCCACCCACATGTCATTCTGCAGCGGCCTCATCAATATTCATGCCCAGCGCTGACTTTACCTGCCAGAGAGGATTCATCAGCGCTATGCTCCTCACCCCCTTTACAAAGTCCGCTAATGAGCAGGAATGTGAGCGGATCATTGGGCCGCTACGGCAGCTGTCGCGGCAGGGGGGCTCTGTCATTGGTCGGCTGTTGTTTGCTGCCAACGATGCCCCCCCAATAGGACAATAGCGTGAAGGCCTTTTCCCGCCATAGTCTGGCTAATGCTAATAATACTGTAAAGAGAGAAAGGGCCAGATAAAGGCAGAGAGAGAGGCACGGGGATGAGTCAAGGTCCAGAGGTCTCCATGAGTCACGGAACAAAGGCCAAAAGACTTGCATTTACTCTTAATGAACTGGATCCAAGTCGGTTTTTTCCACTACTGTCATGTGTCTCCATCTTCTCTATTCATACAAGCTGATGGCAGACGCTCAGCAGAAAGTAACACCCCATTCCCTCTTTATTTTTCCATACATTAAAACTATACTTAACACAACTTTGCATGATAATTAAAGCAGCTCTGTTTGTGTTCAAGTCTCTCCATGGCTTCGCACCAAAGAACCTTCAAGACATGTTAGTGCCATGAGACCCAACTTGTACTCGGAGGAGCACAGGGACTGGCCTCCTGCTGGGACTCTGAGGAGCACAGGGTTTGGCCTCCTGCTGGGACTCTGAGGAGCACAGGGACTGGACTCCTGCTGGGACTCTGAGAAGCACAGGGACTGGCCTCCTGCTGGGACTCTGAGAAGCACAGGGACTGGACTCCTGCTGGGACTCTGAGGAGCACAGGGACTGGCCTCCTGCTGGGACTCTGAGGAGCACAGGGACTGGCCTCCTGCTGGGACTCTGAGGAGCACAGGGACTGGCCTCCTGCTGGGACTCTGAGGAGCACAGGGACTGGCCTCCTGCTGGGACTCTGAGAAGCACAGGGACCGGCCACCTTCTTGTGCCCAGAGTCAGGACTAAACATGGGGAAGGCAGCATTTCAGATTTATGCTGTTATAATTTGGAACCGTCTTCCTGAAGATTTGAGACAGGCTTTTTCTCTAACATTGATCAAATCCAGATTTAAAGCAGCTCTGTTTCGCTCTGCACAAAACTGTATGATCTTATCTTTATTATTTTTATTATTTATGATTGTGAAGCCTTGTGTTATAGTTAGCTTAATATAAGTTACCTTAATTAATACAACTTATTGTTAAGAATACAATAAAGAAATTCATAAAAGATTTAAGCTAGATACAGATTTTGCAAACACATTATTTTCTTCTTGAGCAGCTGCCAAAAAAAAATGTCAAAAATGTTGAAAGTAATGAGCTAATCATTTGTGAGTGACTGCGACCACTTTCAAAGACGCCCTCCTTAAGACTGCATGTCAAGCATAACAGTGATTACGATCAAAAACAGACTTTTTTTTGGTGCCGCTGTGGTCAGTCCCAACATTGTCTTCCACATGTCACAGAGTTCACTGCTTCACAGCCTGTTAGCATTAGCCGCAGTTAGCCAAACACCAGCTACTTCATACTTTCAACAGTTTCCAATCTTAAAATACCACATTTGCTGTCAAATCGGTTGAGCAAAGTGACAGCACAGCACGCGAAAACCCTTAAGAGTACTTTGGTTTGAGCAGCTGACAAACATTAGTCCATTAGCACAGAGCATTGACGTTAGAAAGTAACATGCAAAAGTATAAATTGTAATATATGTAAATGGTAAAAACAGGGCTTGAATATCGCACTCCCATAAAACCCAGTGAAAGTATTTGACTGCCATGAGTTCCCTGCTGTACAATAAACCTAGGTGTTATTTTTCCACATGCAATAGCGTTTAACAGGGCCAGTTCCGTACGACACTAATTCGCTTAACAATGAGTGCCATGACATAAGCGGACCAGCGGCCTACTGTAGTTCCCATCTGCTGCAGCGGTCAGAGCTGCCGTCCAAGGAATGCGCAACCAAGACGCCAGCTTGGGGAGCAGGAATGTTCGCAATTATGCCCGACCTGGATCGAGCTTTCAGGGGAATTCAGAGCAACGCAGCCAGAGGATCGGGGGAGACTGAACCGAAGCATTGTCCTTTGTTATAAAGTCCAATATTTACACTAGCTAGGTTCAGATGAGGCTCATGTCTTATCGGTCTGCCCACTGTGGATGACCTAATATGTGTTTGTGCCGAAGGTTTTATCACTCACACCACAGATTGAGGATTACAGATTTAGATATGGACGCTCTGATTTAGAGTATGTTGCATGGCGCATTATCAAAAAAAGTGGATACGATATTATTTGTATATAGTAAACTGAAGAAATTATGTAGATTTTTATTGATGCATGCCCTCTTGTTATTTTATTCTGCTTAAACTTGTTTGCACTGAGAGCCAAAGTGAATTCCTAGTTTGTGACTTCCTGTTACTCACATGGCAATAATAAGGATTCTGATTCTGATGTGTAGCCTTGGGTCACGTTTGGGCCACCAGTTGACCCTATATGTGGCTTGAACCAGGTCAATGTATAAACTCTAGACATAAAGATGGATTTTTTTGACACTAGGATCAAATACTTACTTTACCCAGTGCGTAAACGAAAAGCATATCTTATAAACAGTACGACATTGGAGATGAAAAGGAAGGTGGTTACTAGAGCAGAAATGATTAATCAAATTATTCAATCACAAAAAAGCTGGGATTCCAAATGAATTTGTCATGGTATGGATTTTGTTCATGTACTTTGGTTTTAGTTTGACTTCCTGTTTTCTCTGTGTTGACTGTCTGCCCCGCCCTGATGTGTTCCACCTGTGCCTCTGTCGTACCTGTGCTACTCTGCCCTTGTTGCTGGTCCATTGTATTGTCAATGTCCTGGTTCCTTGTGCCTTTTGGATTTGGATTTTGAGTTTGTTTTCAGCCGGACTTTTATTTGTATCATCATTAAACCCTTATTTTTGGCATTCCTGCAATTTTGGGCCCTCACTCACTTCACCACATGACAGAATTGCCTTCATTATTCAGTTAACTTCTCACCAATATCTCACCAATAATTAATTACAAATGGCGGCACTTCTTTTATACAAGGTTTAGTGGAAAGTTGGAAAGTTGGAAGTAAAGAACATTGCTCAGTTTTGGATTCAATAGATATTTGATAGAAACTCAATAGAACCGCCAGGGCTGATGTGTTGGTTGTAGAATGCCTTTACTGGATTATTGATGACTGCTATTGCCAAGAACCTGCCAATTCAAAACATAATGGATGCTAAAATGTGACACAGTGCCCATGTATGAATTGATAAACATGGCGATGTCAAACCACAGTTAAAAATGTACTAAAAAAAAGTCTTTAAACATCAAAATGCAAATAAATGTCATGGTCACAAAGCCCTTGCTACTCAGGGCATTGCGTCTTTGCCGGTCGACAAACGGATGATATGGTAATAAATATAAACACTTTAACATTATCATGCTATACCATGTTTACAGCATTTGTTCTGGGAAACATTTTGTCTGTATTATTTACAAATCGAGAGCATTTCAAGCATCTGTTGCATCTGCTCTACTTAAGTTTTTTAGAGATTATAAAGTACGGCCGAGAGCATACCGTAAGTGGAATGGAATGAATTCAGGCACACTGCAAACCACATTTAGAAACTAGAAACGTCCTCGTCACTTCCTGCTGTTAAGTGCGTCCTAATGCACTGCAAGTCAAGTGCATATGCTTCTTACATTAGAGCAGTTCTGCTTTTTATTACTAGATATGACTGAAAACGCGAGAGTGATGCTAGCGACGATGACTTGGTCTGACACAATAAACAAGAGCTGCTATCAAAATCAGGAGTTCACAGGGAAATCTGTTTTCTTAACACAGATTTCTCTAAACGGTTTAAGATCCTTAATTTGTTCCACAGTGTAAGTAAGTAAGTAATGTTTATTTATATAGTGCATTTGACAGACCAAGGTCAGACCCTAACCCCTTTACAATGTTCAGAGTCAGATATTGTTCCAATCCTTCCACACACGGTGATGACAGAAGCGAGTCCAGAACACACTGGACCATCAGCTCCAACACCATCCATTCACTTTCTCATTTACATTCAGACCTATTGTGCATGTTTTTAGTGGTAGGGTAAACCGGAGCACCCGGAGGAAACCTACGCAGACACGGGGAGAACATGCAAACTCCACTCAGAAAGGCCCTGTTCCGACCGGGATTCCAACCCAGGACCTTCTTGCTGAGAAGCGAGAGTGCTATCCACTCCGCCACCGTGCCGCCCACGGTGGAGAAATTTCAGTGTTGCATCACCAGTTACAAAACTATAGGAATGATGAGTACACAACACAAGATAAATTGAAAAACTCAATATTAAAAATTACTAAAAACTAGGTTCGGGTATAATAGCACTAGCATAATAAAGAAGCAAGTATAACATCCCTAGCTTTAGCGTGATGAGTAAGCAAATTCAAATTCTCCAACTTTAGCATAATGAAGAACCACGAACTAAGTACAGAATATCTGATTTTGGCATAATAAGAATCACGTATTAAGTCTCTAACGTCATAATGAAGAAGCAAGTTTTCAGCACACAGTAGCGTTTCCATTCATCATAGTTTTTCTTCTACACTTTTCAAACAAAACCTGTCATTTTGGTGTCAGAAAGGTCAAACCGCAGGACAGTCAGGGCTTAGAATGAACATTTCGATCTGTCAGAGCGAGGACAGGTCTGTGCATGTGTCCACAAACTAATAAGAGCCGGTCCACTTTCTCCCTAAAGGCCCGTCGCCATCACAGCCATTGATTTCTCAGACCATCTGCCGCTGCTGGCCCAGACCGCCATTGCCATGACGACCGGCGCTTTGATAGATGGAGTCTTTTTTTTAAGGCCCCAATCTGCTCTTGGTGAAGTTTTTGCACACTCCAGCCTTTGTGGTGACCGGACACCGAAACAAAAACAAACAAGAAGAAGTATGTGAAGAAGGAATCACTCAAGAAATTAGAGAAACTTCTTGACAGAATATTTTCACAAGGACTACATCTGAATGTTTTACAGTTTATAGTTAAGGAATCGTTTTGTCATTTTGTGGGAAAGCAAAATAGTGCTAGGATATTGATATTAGTCGCAACAGTTGGGTTTTAGAGGGATATAAAATGCAGTTTAGTAAGAAATTAATTTACATCACTAAAAAACCTGCACAACTATTGCCACTGT